GTTTCGGAAAATGACCGAGCAGTTTTCGTCACGGAATTTACGCAGAAATGGCGCTTACGACCAAAGAGTTATCGAGTTAAAGGCGCGCCCGATCCGCGGACGTTACCGTGCGAGACGCGTGGGGAAAAGAATAATGTTCGATGTGTAAAGAAAAAAGAAACACGCTCGACCCGTGTGTATGTGTGTTGTATGTAATAATACGTTAAGCCGAGTACCGCCGGGCAGTACCCGCGTACGCCCGAGTTAGATTACTGTGTACTTACAGGAGAAGCATGGACGTTTGAGCAATAAAGTGTTTGTACATTCTTCTTTTTTTTAACCGAACGCGGCATGCTTTCTTTCTTGGCTCAGTTAGTCGGTAAATAAATGTTTCGATTAGAACAACTGCTTTCACTTGATTCTGTGGTTTGCAATGTATAGGAGGAACGAGGCGACTTCGATGAATTGTTCCTTGGAAAGGAGAAAAATGGCTGCCGACGCGCGGAGATAAGTTTTCTAGTGATTCTCTGGAGAATCGAACCTTCGACGGGCTAATGTTTTCGGGACTGCGTTACCGGGAGGAATTCCGATGAATGCGCGGATTTCTAGAATGAACGGGCGAACGATCGTGAAGCGGTGTCGCGCGGGAGACAACCGGTTTAAAAATATACTCGGATTTAGGGCTCGCATTGACCGTCGACGTGTAAATCATATTTATGTTTTCGTTCGCGGAACGGAGCCGTGTGCCAGTCGTGTGTGGCACAGAAAACGGAGCCGAAATCGAAGGTGAATCGAGAAACAAACTGCGAATTCTCGTGGCTGTAGTTTGTCCTATTAATGTCAACGATCGGTGCCGGTAACGGTAATAATGGAGGCGACCGTGTCCACCGCCGAATCTTTTTGCCCGTTCTGAATTTTTCGTATCCCTTCACCGCGTTTCGTGTTCTAGCCGTTAAATTGGATCATTGGAAACTTCGTGTTAATACTTACAATGACGACACCACTGTCGGCGACGACAATCATGTTGGTACGGATTTATAAATTATTACAATAATGGTAAAATTAACGATAATACTTGTAATAATCATAATAACGATAGTAGCAGCAGTAGTAACGATGGCAATAATATTACAGTATTAATAATTACATTTAACGTCGTTAACAACGGCGTCGCGCGCAAAAACATGACTTCCGATGTGTGTGTCCCTCTGCATGTATATATGTATACATATATGTACAGATAGATAGATATATATATATATATATATACATATGTGTATACATATATACATACATATAGACACGTGTTGTGTTTCTCCATGAGCGATGGAATATTCAAGATACATAATAATAATAATAATAATTAATTAATTAATTAATAATAATTAATAATAAGGCGACGCCACCCAGGTAAGCTTTTTTCAATACCACCGAGAAAGTCCGTGGATTGTTTGTTCGGAAGCCAATTAATAGCACGCATTGCCTCTTGATCCTATTATTACATAACTAGTAATCGAGCACATAATTTTTTTTCGGTCCTACCGTAAAACATTTTTTTTTTTAATCCTCTTCGGTCACACACGTGCGAAGTATGAGAAACAAAGGGGGTCTACACGCTCTGAAATCAAGCCAGCATACCCGCCAAAGCTTGCAGCTAAGGGGCAAGAAAATAATTCTTCAAGTATTACGTGAATAAATGCGTCTCGAACATAGTATATACAGTAGAAGAAACAAGTATCCATACGCTGGTATCGCTTGCTTACTTTTTTCTTCGACCGATACTATTATATTAATTCAAACTAAATTAAAAATTGTTTTTCTTCATCGGACTACACTTCCATAGAAAATTACATTTTCGTCGAATAATCCAATCTGAATAATTTTTAATTTACACTAAAAACAGTGCTGGTAAGTGAAAGCAAGATTTAGCGATGTACGAATACTTCCCTCTTCTCTGACCGTACACAGTGTTCCACCTAACCTTAAATTCCAAATATCCATCCCGTCTCTAGTGTCCCCGTAGAATCGTTTAAGATGATGCTCTATAGTTCCATCAGGATCATCCGTAAAATCAGTATCTTACGTTTTAACGTGAAGAGGTACGATCTGTTTAATATTCTATTGATTCGAAAGCGTATTGGCCACTCAGAGATTGAAGTAAACGAAGGTAAACGATAAGTCGTATGTCCGGATAAAACTATAAAACTTCAGAGCTGAAATTCTATTAAGATACTGGATATAGAGGGAATATTTCAGTTGATAAGATCAGGTGGAAAACACTGTACATTCATAGTTCTACCAAGCAAATTTGTATTTCTCGATGAGCAGACGCTGACGTCACATGTGCAGAAAAGGTAGTTTTATACAGCGATGAGAATGGCCAAGTTTATACTCCTTCGATTTGTCGCTGTAACCCGTGACTCCGTGTGAAATGACGACGCGGCAAACGAACCACAGTCGTTGAACTACTCTAAACTCAAATTTGTTCGGTAGAGCAACAACGTTTTATTCAAAATAAGGATAAACCTGAAGTTAAGAGTAATGGCGGTTTGGCTTGTCACGTGATTAGACTCTCATTGGTCAATTATTATTTTGCTGAGAGCATAATGTGTCTTATATGAAACTCCATCCTGAAATCACTGCCCGGTGATCATTTCAATCTAAAAGTTTGTCCCATGTCTCTGCACCGTTGAGTCGCTCGAGTCCTTTTCCCCATCCTGAACAACTTGCTCGATGATCCGAGCAAAATTGGGAACAGGTAGTCACACGTGTTCCGTTCACGTCAAGTTTATCCTTATCCTTAATTAGCGTTTAATCATACAAACGGTTATTGTAATAGAAACGAATTTATTATACGCCTCGCCACGTATATACTACTTTCGGCAGGTATGCTGTTCCAAATTGTCTCTTTTGTTATTATTTTCTTATTCATCGCTATTGCATTCTTCCATTCATACCAGGCGCATGCAACAAGCATGCATTCGTAAGGTATACACCATAATATCTCCATCGTTTTTCCTCTCGCAAGTCATTTGCCTACTTTCCTCCCCTTCTCTCCCCGGCATTCTCCTATTCTGGTTCCTTTTCTCTTTTATATTACATTCCTGTTCCGTTGTGCACTCTTTAAGACGCATACAGCACACGAAGGTCGGTAACACAAAAATTTTTTCTGCGTCCTCCTCTTTCTCTCTCGTTCTCTCACTCGTTTTCTCTTCCTCCCATTCACGCTCTATCCACTTGTCTCTCTGTCTCTCTTTCACGCACGCACACCCATGCTCCCTCACTTTCTCCGGTTTCCAATTGTCGATCAAAGCAGTGTAGTCGAGAGTACGGACAGGCGAACATCTGATAAATGGAGTGAACACGATAGTAAGGCTTAATTTTAATTTGTTAGTAAATCGTAATATCCAGCGCACGCGTTGCTGCATTCTGTGCACAGACGAAGCCTGTTTTCCACGCAGGTAA